TGAGAGAGTGAAGATAGTGAGTTAGTGAAGAAGTGAAAAGGAAGAGGGAAGATTTGAAGATAGTGAGAGAGTGAAGAGAGTAAGAAGTGAAGGAGTGAAGATAGTGAAGATATGAAGAATAAAGAAGTGAAGTAGTAAAGAATGAAGAGGTAAGAAGTGAAGGAGTGAAGAGAGTAAGATAGTGAAGATAGTGAAGAGAGTGAAGAGAGTGAAGAGAGTGAGAGAGTGAAGATAGTGAAGAGAGTGAAGAGAGTGAAGAGAGTGAAGATAGTGAAGAGAGTGAAGAGAGTGAAGAGAGTGAAGATAGTGAAGATAGTGAAGAGAGTGAAGAGAGTGAAGAGAGTGAAGATAGTGAAGATAGTGAAGAGAGTGAAGATAGTGAAGAGAGTGAAGATAGTGAAGATAGTGAAGAGAGTGAAGATAGTGAAGATAGTGAAGAGAGTGAAGAGAGTGAAGAGAGTGAAGATAGTGAAGAGAGTGAAGAGAGTGAAGAGAGTGAAGATAGTGAAGATAGTGAAGAGAGTGAAGAGAGTGAAGATAGTGAAGAGAGTGAAGAGAGTGAAGAGAGTGAAGAGAGTGAAGATAGTGAAGAGAGTGAAGAGAGTGAAGAGAGTGAAGATAGTGAAGAGAGTGAAGAGAGTGAAGATACAAGACTAGTGCAGATCAGAGGACACTCGAGTGAGAGTGAGGGAACTAGAGTGAATCTTCACTGGATTAATAACACAAAACTCAATATCATAGAAATTTACTTAGCCTTCTACACATACCATATAAATATTAATGTGAATATAAATATATATATAAAATATATATTTTTATATAATATATATATATATATATATATATATTATATATATATATATATATATATATTATATATATATATATATGCAAGGAATTCGCGAGAGCATGCGAAATATACACAAACACTGATCTCTGGCTGAAGGAGACTCGAACCTACGAACCTTGGAACAAGGTACGCAGTGCTTTACCCGTCTACCCACACTGGACACTAATACCAGAGATCAGTGTTTGTGTATATTTCGCCTGCTCTCGCGAATTCCTTGCATTGTTCTAATCTCTAGTAAGGCTGATGCATGCAGGGGATGAGATGAAAAGCTGTAAGCCTTCTCCCTGAAAGCTGGCTGCCTTGGATCAAACGTGTAGCGAAAGCTACACGTCAATGTATTGTCCAGTGTGGGTAGATTGGTAAAGCACTGCGTACCTTATTCCAAGGTTCGTAGTTTCGAGTCTCCTTCAGCCAGAGATCAGTCTTTGTATATATATATATACATATATATATAAAATATATATATATATATATATTATATATATATATATATTATATATATATATATACATGTATAGTGCTTTACCAATCTACCCACACTGGACCAATACCTTGGAGTCCAGCTTGTGCTAGACTTTGATCCAAGGCAGCCAGCTTTCAGGGAGAAGGCTTACAGCTTTTCATCTCATCCCCTGCATGCATCAGCCTTACTAAAGATATTAACAATGCAAGGAATTCGCAAGAGTAGGCAGATTGGGTAGATTGGTAAAGCACTGCGTACCTTGTTCCAAGGTTCGTAGGTTCGAGTCTCCTTCAGCCAGAAATCAGTGTTTGTGTATATTTCGCCTGCTCTTGCGAATTCCTTGCATTGTTAATATCTCTAGTAAGGCTAGCCTAATCCAACTAAATATATTTTATATACGTTTATAATAATTAATAATAAACAAACACAGTGAAATATATTTTTTTTTCTTTAGGTTTTGACTGATTTTTGCGAAATTACTGCATACAGAAATTTTTGCTTGCTCTATTCGGCAAGAAGAGCGTTGCTATTTAAGCTAAAATAGCAAGTTTTACTTATTCGGCACTGCATGTTAATGAGAGTGGTTGAGTGGTAGCGAGCGTCGGACACACAGGGACACACAGGGACAAACGGAGACACGCAGGGACACACAGGGACACACAGGGACACACAAGGACACAAAGGGACACACAGGGACACACAGGGACACACAGGGACACACAAGGACACACAGGAACACACAGGGAAACACAGGGGCGCACAGGGACACACATGGGCGCACAGGAACATACATAGATACACAGGGGCACACAGGGACAGTAGTTAGAGTCTGTACATTAGTGTACAACTTGAGTACATTGCACTTTGGAGTACATGGCTGAGAAACACGATAATGAAATTAAACTGTTTATCGTGTATACTATATAACAATACTAACTTGGTTGACCTAAATAAAAATAACGTTCGTAAGACCCAGTGGGTTCAGGTTTCAGAAGTGTTCAGTAAGTTGAACACCTGTCTTAGAAAGCAAGAGAGAGAGTGTGGGGTTGAGGATGGTTTAATACCAGATGCCAACACCTGCCCTGCCAACACCTGTTGCTGGCAGGTGCTGTTATATTGGCCGACCCGTTGTTGCTGGTGCAGGGAGACAGAGAGACAGAGAGACAGAGAAAGAAAGAGAGAGAGAC